TGACACTATTGAAAAAAATGTCTAAACTCAAGGCAAAATAGGGCTTGTCGATCATACAATGTAGACTCTTTTCCATTGTTGAAGGCTATTTTGTGATGTTAAGGTGCCTATCTTGACTTACTAATGTCTTTCAACCTTTTAGGTTTTCCCCACTTTCATATTCATATGATCTCATATGAAAATGTAAAAACATATCGCAAACAACGATTAGCACAAAGTCTGAGTAAAGATTTTAATAAAATGCAAATGGCATCCATAAAACTATGAAAATTTGAATGAATAGATTGTAGTCTTAACTTCTTGATTGAATCTTTTTATTCCACACCCAACCCATAATATCCCTTGATCATCAACATCAAGAGACGCAGGAAACATTGGATGAACCATATTTGGTACCTCAATCCACCCAGCAACATCCCCATCTTTATTTATTGTATGTATTGCATTGTCCCAGTAATCACTTGCCAGAATGAGACCTGCTGAGGTAACTGTTATATCTTGTGGATTAAACCATTCATATATAAAATCTGATTTATCCGAATATGACCACTTTTCCTCCCCTTTATGATTTATTCCAACTATCCTACCATCTAAAAGCATTTGATTTTCTTTATCTCTCTTTAAGGTATCAATGACACATATAATGTCAGAATTAGCTACTATCCTGGTTGGACAGGTAAAGAATGGTTTTCCAGATTTGACTTCTGTTCCAAATGTGCATTTTACTTGTCCTTTCATATCCAATACCACTATTCTACCATCCTGGTAGTTCTCTGATTTTTCTGAAGATTTTGCAATGCCAACAAATATCTGATCTTTATGGACATACACACCAAATGTATTAAAAGGAGAAAATGAGTGAAAAAATTCTCTACCCCCATTCATGTTAATGAGTTCTAAATAAGATGTTTCCTTAGAAAGAAGAAGTTCGCCATCAGGCATCATGGCCAGATCAAACACTTTTGTCTTTATCTCATTTTCAACCTTGTTTTCATCACTTTCAAATTTAACTCTTTGTAATAATTCATCTTTATAATTTGCAATGATGCCATAACTGTTTTGCAAGTGAATAATTTTAGAAACATGTCTATTTTTTGTTGAATAAGATCCAGTCATTTTGTAATAAGGACCTTTGTAGAGGCGTCCAAAGTAATAATTTCTCGCAAGGTCTTTTGATACAGAACCAGGTATAAACCTGGCCTGATGCAATGACATTTGAGAAACATTTTTTGATTGTAAAACTTGAGAGATATGTGAATGATTTGATGTAAGAATTTCTGAGATTTTATGGGGATTAAGAATCTGGTCTATTTTTTTCCTTTGATCTTCCATTTGTTGAATATTTCTTTGGATAAGTTTTAGTTCTCTATTGATTGTCTCTCTTTTTAAATTCCAATGTGTTTCCTCATCTTTTAAAAAGCTGTAAAAATGTTCTTGTATATGATACATAAACATTTTCTGGTTTTGCAAAATTTCTCTCTTTGTGTCATTAAATTGTTGACTTCCTTTGGAAAGCATAACTTGCAGTTCTTGCTCTTCATGTTTGCATATAGAAATGTTTTCATCACTTTTGACTTTCATGTCTTTAAGCTTGCATATTTTTTCCTCAAAAATTTCACTAAGCTTGTATAAATCATGGTCTTTGTGACATATTACTACACAACTGGAGCAGATTGGTTTATTGCAATCTAAGCAAAAAATACTGCATTTTTGGTCGCAATGTTCGGATCCTTCACAATTAATTTCCTTGACCCTTACTTTTAGAATTTTGTCCAACATTTTTCCAGTTCCATATTCGTTTATGTCAATTACTAGATGGTGTGCCAGTGTTTTGCTTTTTGAATGAAACTTCACATAGCAGTCCTGACATAAATTTAAATCACATTCAAACAAGGAATTATTTGAATCTGGAATAATATTGAATTCTGGAAAATTGATTAGAAATGTATGATGAAAAATAACCCAACTAAATAGGGTTAGCCATGCGTGCATGGCTAAGGTTAATTTTACTTTCACTATCATTTCAGTATGAACTAACTAACCCACCTTAGCCATGCGCGCATGGCTAACCCTATTTAGATGGGTTAGTTTTCATCATATATTTCTCATCAATTTTCTAGAATTCAAAATTATTCCAGATTCAAATAATTCCTTGTTTTCAATACATATCCATTTCAGTATTGACGATTCTTCACAAATTCCACACACACTACTCTCTTGTGCCATTAAAGTCTAATAAAGACATTTTCCAAAATGTTTACAGACCCATATAGTCAGTTATATTACAGTTTATGGCATTTACCATGAAAGATAAATTAGAATGGCCAATTGCATACATTATCTTTTCACAGAATAAAGTTGAAGTAACAATGTCTTATGACACATTTTCCCTTGAATTACCCAGTGTCAAATGGGGCAGATCATTCATAAAACCGAAACTGAAAACTCCTCTATGAACAGTCCTGGCTTGTTGAAGTATATCTTCAGTAGAATGTTGATTTCTACAGAGCCACTTATTTGAAATTGATGGAATTTTTAGACCAGTTCTCTTAGTTTCTGTATTGTAAACTTGCAATACTGTAAATTCAAACCAGATTGATATTAAGGTAGATCAGATTATTATTGTCTCTTAATATGTGATTTATACAAATGTATTGGAAAAAAATCAAAGTTCTCATTTTATCTTTAACAGGATGTTTACCTTTATAATTTATCAGCAAATAATATCAACTCTTGATACAGGAGTCCAATTGATAATCTGTATGAAAATTGACAGTTCTTGTTTGTTTTGGTTATTTTTTATGTGACACAGTTCCTCATTGGACTGGGCTTCTTATAATTTGTATGGATTCATAAGTTAAAGTGTTGACAACAAAATATTTTAATAAAACAATACAAAACCCTATTTCTAGAATATTTTTGTGGAAGGCAATATGATCTCATTTAGCATCTGTTATCAAAATTAGGAGGCAGGAGACAGATATTTATTTTTATGCCTATTATATATTTATTATTATTGATTTCATGCGTAATTAAACCAATGAAGTATTGCATACAAAGGAATAATTAAAAATACACTCTTAGCCTATCTAGGTAAATTATATGTCATAAATCTAAAGCAGTTTGCATGTAATGAATCCCGAAAAGAAAAAAAAAAATTTCCACTGTTTAAACAGGGATCTATGAAGGAAACCGGGAAAATCTGCATGTTGTCATATAAGTTGCTGGAATTTGTAGATTTCTGTTCAATATGACATTATGTTTTAACTTTATGGTATGTTTTTACTGAGTAAACACCTTATCACTATTTGAAAATCTGCACCTCTTGATCCGAGAATCTGCTCCTCTTGAACTTTTGATGTCATACAACAATCACTTTTCCATTGTAGCGTCAGATATTTTCTATTGTGACGTCAAAATTTTACTGGAACCTTTGTGATGTCCAGTAATGGCAGACAAGCGATAAGGTGTATTCTTTTATTGGGTTCTGAAAGCATCTTATGAATAGGCCTCCAAGGGTGACTGGGGAATAGAAAGATGGTCACCATTGGTCTTCTTCCGACTGGCAGTAAAACCCCTGCAAAAGTGGGGCGTCTGTTTGGCTGTGCGGGATGTACAAATAAGTAGCCATGTCCGGTCAGAATGGGGATGCTAAATCTGATGCCTTGTGCAAAGAGAGTGCCACGCTCTCTGCATGTTAAGAACCCTTGCAACAACTCATTAAGGGGTCCGTAGGTGACCTGTTGCAAGGCAAAATTTCTGTCCCTATCCAATATACCCTCATTTTGCCAATGGCAGTCCAAATTTACCAGACCTTTACCCAAAACGGCCTCTTTTGCAGGACCTACCTGTATTGTATTTATTGTTAATTTGCTCTCATACTGAACATGCATGAAATATTTGCCACTGGATGTTGAACAGCCAACAATCAATCAATTTATTTCTTGAAAAGAGCTGTAGTAAACATACATGATAAAAGCTACCACATCCAGCTCAAATCAACAATGTCACAATGTGTAATTTTTTAAAACATTTCCCCTAATTGGAATCAAAATGTTTATGTTCACCCGTGGTTTGTTTCAAATTCAGTTTAATTTGTTTTCATAAGAAAAAATACACCTTGCTTTGCTGGGCTTTACTCATGGTAAAGTATGAATATAATGCATGAAACCTTCAACAAACAACATGCTGTCATGAATTATATTGTTTGAAATAAACTATGACTGACACATCCCTATATATTTTGCACAAAACAAATTTGTAAATGGTGTTATTAGATACACTTTGAATCTAGAGAATGATACACCTTTTTCTATTAGATTTTAAATACAGTCAAACCTGCTATAAAGGCAACCTCATTTCAGCGAAAAACTTATCAGGTCCCCTCTTTTTATACTACTGTAATATAACCTATGCTTTGGAACCAAAATTCAAAGGCCACTTCTGTCATAATGTAACTTTTTCTCTGGTCTAAAAATGACCTTTATATACATAGTATTAACATTTCTGTGAATATAAAAAATAGAAGATGTGGTATGGTTGCCAATGAGATAACTCTCCACAAGAGACCAAATGACATAGAAATTAACAACTATAGGTCACCATACAGCCTTCAACAATGAGCAAAATCCATACCGCATAGTCAAGGTCCCAAAATGACAAATGTAAAACAATTCAAATTAGAAAACAAACAGCCTGATTTACTGGTATGTACAAAATAATGAACGAAAAACAAATATAATATATAGCAACAAACAACAACCACTGAATTACAGGCTCATGACTTGGGCCAGGCACATACAGAATGCATGATATATAGTGTGATGTGTTTTCACCATTGCTCTTCAACTTCCTGTTTCCCGAAAAAAAATAAAGTGGGTATCATAAGTGAGCAGGAGCTGTTTGCTTAACTTGTGGTTGATATTTTCAGAAGGAGAGGAGGTACCAATGTTTTTGTTTTTGTTGTTTATCTGTTAACTTTTAATATTATTCTTTTACAGAAATACAAAGAAGAGATAGTAAAAATAGAAATACAATTAAAGGAGAAAATTAAAGAAAATAGAAGATTGAAGGACAACTTTGAAACATTAGTTAAGGCAAATGATGCCATGAAAAAAGATGTAAGTTGTTTGTCAATTTAGAGCTTTTTCTAAATGCTTGTAGTTTAAAGGTTTGTTTGGCTTGTTTGCTATGTTTGTAGAATGGTTGCTCAAGCATTGTAATTAAGATTGACATTGACAATCAATAGATAGGCAGGGCTTACTCTGCATTATACTTAACATCCAATATCATTTAGGTATATTTTATTCAAGCTGAGGCCCCGCCTATCTATTGATTGCAGATGTTAATTCTAATTACAATGCTTGAGCAAATATTTATATAAGCAAGCAAGCCAATCAAACCTTTAAACATGTATTTATAAAATAGCTCTACGTAAGTCCTTATGTGGTTTCAACAAGTTATAAATTCCTATGTATAGCTCCCCTTGCACTATGGCTCATTATGACCAATTGCCATCACTTGCCATCTGCTCACATCATCTGTCATCTTCTGAAAAAGGTCTAAAACACTGCAATTATCACACATCTTCTTATAGGAGTTATTGCCCTTAAATGAGGATTTTTTTCAGCCCCTGTTTGTCTATTATCTTCCAAATTTTATTTAGATTGATAGAAACTTCATCCAGTAAACAGCATAAATGATCAGCTTAATAAGATCTACTAAAACATTTAATAAAAAAATAATGTCAGTCAACTCCTTGTAGGAGTTATTACCTTTAAATTATGAGTTTTTCCCAGAATTATCTTGATTACACACACTGAAAGCAGCAAAGATGATCCTAAAGATTAGACATACAAATAAATGAAATGAACAAAAAAATTGTCTTTCTGTTGGAGCTAATGCCAGTAAATGACAAAGGATTTTGCGATTTTAGATATTTTATTGAAAACTATAAGAGATAGAAAGAAAACAGCAAAAAGGATCACATAGATAAAACCTTCCAATAAGAAACTGTAATTAAGGTGAAAATAGATATCAAATGGGATATTTTTCACCAAATGATCAATTCAGGCTTTTAAGAGCCTCTATAGGTTATTTACATAACAGGGCTCTAGTGTGCTGTCCATTCTAAAGTGGGAAAAAAGAGAGGCATATACACATGCTAATTAACACTCAAGCATTATGTCTAAATCTAAAGGGACAGTAATAATGAGGTAATATGTTATAAAGAGGTTGGAAAAGAGTTATTTTTGTGTAATTAATCACCTTTAATTTTGGTATGATATATCATGAAAAGAAACTGAGAAGCAATGTGTGATTTTTAAGGCAATAAAGTCACTGCCATTCCTATGAGATTGGAATACTGTTCAAACCAAAATGTAATTATCTTTCATGCCTCAGTATTTCACCTAATTAATTCATAGGTGAATGATGTTGTTTAATAATGCTCTGCTAAAGTGTTCATAGTCCAGGACTTTTGTTTTACATACTGTAAACCATTTTACTTTGGCGTGAAATTAATTTTTTGTGACTTTCGAGAGTAGAAAAATAATGGGAATATGTAAAACTTGGATCTTTTCTCATATGAATATGTCAAGATAATAAGAAAATCATGAACAAAAATTGCTGCAAAGGTTAAAAAGGTTAAACTTGAAATAAAGTATCTTGGAAAATAAGTTGGTTTACAGTATTTCTGTATATCAGTATACATATATTTACCAAAAGAAGATAAACTATTTTGTACAATCACAATGTCCACATATCAGGTCTGATTTACATGTTGACATAAGCCTGTGATGTAACTATGATGAGTTTATTTACAACCACTGGGTTGATAAACTATCATAATATTCACATGATGGGTCTGATATATACATGTTGACATACGCCTCTGATGTAACTGATATCAATATACAATATTTACACTTTCAGTCCAATTCGATTTAAACTAGACAATTTTGTCCAGAATGTGCAGATAATATTTGCAACTGAAAATTATGCAAAGAACAATTAATCATTCAGTTACTGTAAATTCAGAAATTATTGCGTGCATTTATTATTGCGATTTATGAAGAATGGACAATAATGCGAGATTAATTATGGCGATTTCAGGAAAATCTGCATACAGATGCATATATCAGATATCAGAATGCGACTTTTAATTATTGTGATACTATCCCAGTCGCACTATTCACATTAATAAAAACCTCGCAATAATTTCTGAATTTACAGTATATATATAAGGAGAAGAGAAAAATATGATTATTTCTGAGGAATCCTAAATCAAGCCATTGGTTTTCTATTTTGAAATGTTTCACATTTTGTTATCCCATGCTTTTGTGACAGTATGGGTTTTCCTCATTGTTGAATGCTACATTGTGACCTTTAGTTTTTCCCCATCCTGGTCCTTTGTTCTCTGGTGGTTAATTTTCTTATTGGTAATCATACTACATCTCCTTATAAAGCATAAAGTAATAGAGGAAAAAAATCATAATTAAACAAATAAAAAAAGTTTATCAAAGACATCTTATGCCCGGTTTTTTATCAATAAGATAAATTATGAAAATCAAATTAAACGGCACATAAAATATTGTGGTATTATCTCATTTTGTATCCTGAACACTTGAAATAAAAGGTTTAAATGCATCAGCTAAAATTATAGACAATTTTTTTTATAGGAATGAAGACTAAAAACTAAAATTATATTGAATATATGTATTAACTGTTTTTTATATATTGATGTCTCATTTCAGTTTGAAACATTACAAAGTCAGCATGACAAGTTGGAGAAACAAGCTGTGAGTGTTCAGGCCAGACTTACTAACCTACAGGTAAGATCTCAATCCAAGTTTTTGGTTAGGAATTGCTGAAGGTGATAGAATTATTAAGATATTGAATCTTACTTCTTAAAGTTCTTGCAAGAAAGCAGTATAGTTACTTTGCTATTGTTTGTCATCGTCATGTTTAAATTGTCTTAGATGGAATTAAATTCATTGTACACTATTTCATTAAGAATAAATATTGTATATATTTGGACAGCATGCTTAGACTATAAATCCCCTTTAACACATAACAAATTACACAATATAACACTATCTTAAAACACATACTGTAAATTCAGAAATTATTGCGAGGTTTTTATTAATGCAAATAATGTGACTGAGTGAGTATTGCCATAATAAGAACTTGCATTCTAAACACTGAAACATAGATCTGTATGCAGATTTTTTCAATTCGCAATAATTAAACTCGCATATCAGTCTATTCTTGAAATTTGCAATCATAAATGCAAGTAATTATTTCTGAATATACAGTACACAAACAAAGACAAAAGTAGAATTTTTGGTGTGTTTCAAGGAAAAAGGCAGAACATTATTATTGAATCTCCATGGATCTTTAACTTATTGTACAGTACCATAACTGTGAATTTTAGTAGACAATAGTGAAACACTACAAAAACCAATATATTCACAGATATAATACCATGTACCAAAAAAATAAGACAATTTTTTGTATTTTGAGATTTTTTGATGATGTAAAGCTTGCAAACACCAAAATTTAGATTTGCTATCTTACACATTGTTTTTTTTTCACCATAAACATGATTAAATTAAATAACATTCAAATTATCTCAATGCAATTATCTATTTTTTCAGAGAAAACAAGACTTTGCAGAAAGACAGAAGGAAGTAGAGCTGGGTAATATAGCCTTATCTACTGCTGTGCCTAAACAGAAGGGACAACAAAGGGAGGACAAAATCAAAGTACAGAAGGAGAAAAAGGTAATTTTGACATGTTTGAGTTAGCAGGGGAAAGTGCATAGTTATCAAAATAAAGTTACTGGAGATGAGGTATTAATTTAGTTGATTTCCTTGATAAAGGTTAACCAAAACTTCAAATGGTCAAAAAAAAAGGCTTATATGTGCAAACTTTGGCAAAACTGTGAAATTAAAATTTTGTTTTATCAGCGAAGATTGGAACCCATGAAAATAAATGAATCCGCAGTCCTTGACTTTTTTTTAAGAATGCAATTAAGAAAATATAAGTCTTCAACCAGAAGGTCACTTTGAACTGTAGTTCGAGATTCATTTATTTTTATAATGGACTTAAACATGAGACATGGTGTGCATTCTCTCAACCTTGCACAGATGCAATCCAGAAATTTACGTTGAGCTTGTCGAAGTACGATTTTACTGAAAATCAGCCAAATTAAAACCTTGTAAATCCGTCATTTCACTTTTAAAGGTGATGTTGGGGTATCGATGAGACAGCAAGCCAACGTAAAAAAATTATCAATGGATATCTAGAGGGCAACATTCAGTTTAAAACAATATGTTCTAAATCATCCTGAGTGAAGTTTGATCAAGGGGAAATAACTTTAAATTAATTTGATCTTTTTAAAATAGTACAATATATGTATTGATGATTAATTTCATTTGATAATACAGATTCAATTGATCAAAGTTTAAGATCAAGATAAAGTACTAAAAATTGGGGGATAAATTGTTTCTAATGAAATCAGATTAAGAAACATATGTATAAATATGTAAAAGTTGTAATTTTCATATAAATCAAATATCACAATATTTGATATAAAATACACATTGAAATAAACTAGTTATTAAAAGATCTCATTTTGGACAGCATAACAGTTCAAGGATTTAATTTGGGTTTAATCTTTTTTATTGCAGTAGCTTGGTAACAAGTAAACAAAAAAATACACAGTATGCATAAGTGTAATTGATCAATGGGAGATAACTCAGAAATAATTTATACTTTTTGAAAAACAATAAAAAATCTATTGAAGTTTAAATTGTTTGCTGCAAAGAATTTATCAGATGTTTTAAAAAGGTGTTTTCGCTCTGAAGCTGCCCAGTGTTTTTCTCTTTTGAAAGGAATACCATTGCAAACTGATTAAATTTTTATTCTCATTTTTTTTCTCTTGAATTGAGTTTTGACTGAAACTTAGTTTAGATTCCTCATATTGATTGATTGATTATTACTTATTTTCCAGTTTTCAACCAGTGCCTGTAGTTATGACATCATGGGTATATTGCTGGACTGGATCTGTGATGCACATCTACGATACGCTGTAACAGACCAACCCACCAGAGCTATAGAAAGGTTTTCTTCAACAGAGTTCATACTGGAAAGAGTTTTAAAGGTATCAAAAGATCTTTTTGAAAAGTCCTATGTATAAAATTTATTGAAGTGGAGGGTTTAAGTCAGTGAAAAAGCAACCCAACACAAATAACCAAAAGACATGTAGAATTTTATTTGAAAATATCGCAGGTGGTTTATTGAATTATAGATATATATTTTAATATCAGTACAAAAAAAAACTACAAAACACATTTGTTTATCTATCTTAAAACTTTTGAATGCCTCATTGACGTCTTCTCAATTTTGATGTATAGGTAAATAATTAAAAATATATAGTCAGATAATATTTTGAAAAATTCAATTCAATAGTAAAAATATGAAAAATTTAAAAAACGTAAATTTTAAAATATTTTTTAAACTTTTACATTAATTGGTTCATTTATATTTTGTAGATTTTACCTACTTCAGTAGATATGTTGAGAGAATTCCCTCCAAATAACTTCAGGATTAGCCTCCCTTGTTTACAATTTATATACTGGTCCCTTGTCAATGTAGAGCAAGCTTCAGGCCAACAGGTAAGTCATAAATATATAATTCATATAGTATTGTATTGTATCTGGCAGAATATTGCTGCACAAATATGTAAATAATGATAATTTTAGTAATGCAGATAACTGAAAATTGAAATAAAGGAACAAAAACTTTGTAAAAAAATAAAATTTAAATCCATTCAAAAAATGTTTTTTTCCCAAGGGATCCTCAATTTTTTTATTGTGGTTGATAAAAGATGTGGATTCACATCATTGGATCTTTGATTTTATGGCTAATGTATTGTACTGCACATGTTTCTTACAACTTTTGAAGACTCACTTTAAAAAAAAAGAGACCATGAATAAATATTTAAAGTAATTTATGTCTCTTTTATGGGTCAAATTTATTTCCTTAAATCTAAACAAATTTTCTTCCATATACTGCCCACATTCAACTTTCTGAATATACTGGCAAATTTGGTTCCGCATGGTTAAAAACAGGATAAAAGCAAAAGTTCATCTTTAGTTTGTAAGGTTGGTCATTTGAGATTTGAATGTCTCAAATGACTGTGCTGTGGTGATCTCCAAGGGAAGCTGGTTCCAGTCTTTGGTGGTGTTCACAAAGAAGGACCATTTCCTGCAGTCTTTGGTTGCTGTTTGTACCATGTATCCATGCTGTTGTGTGTGTCTGGATATTTTAGTTGGTTTTTGGAGGTACATGTCTTTGTTGATGGCTACTTTATTTTACAAATTTGACAATCTTATACATCATTGCGAGCCTGGCCTCTCTGCATCGTTCTTGGAGGCTTTTCCAACCCAATTCGTTAATCATGTCCGTGGCACTTGATCTGTTTCTGTGGCGCTTGGTGATGTATTGCGCAGCCCTCCTTTGAACTTTTTCAATTTGGTCAATATGTTTTTGATGATATGGGTCCCATACTGTTGTGGCGTATTCTATTTGGGGCCTTACTAGAGTTTTGTATGCTTGTTCTTTGATGCTTTTAGAGCCGATGAGTATGTTTCGGTGGAGGAAACCAAGGCTTCTGCTGGCTTTGCTGGTAATGTTGTTGATATGTTCTTCCCAATCTAGTTCGCTTGTGATGGTGCAGCCCAGGTATTTAATTGATGTTCTTTTTAGGTTAGGAAATCAACAAATTCATCATTCCTATTTTTTTGCTGATTTTTCAGGAGTTTCTAGAGCGAGAATCATTAGTAAAAAATTGAAAACAACACGTTAAATAATTTCATGTGTCCGAAGTGTTTTTCTGGATTTACCTTCATCAGGAACGCTCAAAGCCAAACATTTGAAATCCGAGGGGTGTATAAGTACTGAAACAGTTGAAGAGCTATATGACAAAAATACATAAAACAAATAGCCAAATAAAGTAAAGTACCCCCTAAATTGGGGATAAGTGTGTTCAATATTTAAATTAATTTTAAAAAGGGTAAAGCAATAATTCACCATTTTATAATTTTGATGACCTTGATTTTTTTTCAGAAATCTAACCTGTCATCGACACTAAGACGATTAGGAGAGGAATTATACAGATCTAAAACAGTCAAATTTATGGATGTTAGTAGTGACAAGAGTGATTTCCCTTTGTCACCAACAAAGCTAGACAAATCAAAAGATGGCATTTACTTTAGAAGTTCTAACCAACATGTCAGGCTCGTGTCCTCTCTAATTATACTTAAAACTCTATCACAAGGTAAGTTGAGGTTATGTTTGGAAATTTTATTGCTTTATAATCAGTTAGAGATGCAGTATCAAAGAAAATTGAAATTATCTCCCTTTTGTCTTTTTCTGATAATTAGCTTTTATATAAGTTTGATATACATAGAAAAAAGCAAACATACTTGACTATTTGCTGTGATTAGATGAAAATTTAGTATTGACTACTGATACTTTACTGATGGAGAATGACCTTTCAGCTCTGCAAATAACAAATGTTCTGTAGACTTACAAACTAGTATATTTGGGCACATGCCTCTTATACTGTGAATTCATTTGTTATCATGGGTACCAGTTTTCATAGATTAAGGAAATATTATATTTTAGTGGCTATTTGATTTCGTGGTTTTGCCAAAGTCTGCATACAAGCCTATAGAACATTTGAACTTAATTGAATATTTAAATTTGTGGGTCGCATATATCCCTAAAATCCTGGAAATTGGTATCCCACAAATAAATATGAATCCACAAAGGATGAAAGCCTTTAGATGGATAATATAAGTATTACTGAATCTCTATGTCTTCTCTAAATCAAGATCTAATTGTGAAGTTAGAGTTATCTCCCTTAGTCTGTGAAGGAAATTACAAATACTTTTTCAAAGTATCTATTGTGAAAAATACAAATGTAGTGTACAGCTGGTTAGTTTAAATGTTTTAAACATTTTCAATTAGCCTTTCAAGTAGACTGTTAGTAGTAATACTATTGTGTCTTACACTACATGTAACAAAAGGAAAATATTTCTGATAAGAGTATAAAATCCCAGAACAGAGGCATTAACTTTATACTATCAATTTTAATTGATATAACAACTTTTTTTTCCTTTTTGATATAAAAAAAAATCTTTTTTATTATTGCCAGATATTTAATTGTTTTTTTCCGACAAGAAGACTAATATGATTGTGCAACTAGATATGATTAAATTAAACAACTTTGAATTTGAACTGTTACTTTAATTGTATACCCGGGTACAACTTGAACAATATAAAAGAAATAAGATACATATGGCTCTTTGTATTATAGTAAAAACCTCACATTGTAGCGCTGCGAGCGAACGAGCACTTCTCTTTCAAATCTCACCATTTCTCCCTCTCAGTTTCAAAAAAAGAAGTCACTTCTCCCTATGATTCTGAAGTAGTGTAAGCCCTGTATAGATGAAAAAAAATTGTAAATTCACTTAAATAAAGGCAATAGTTGTAAACCACTGTTCAATAGTCATAAATCTATTTCACTGAAACAAATCCAGGTCACAAACCAAAACTGAGGGAAACACATCAACTATAAGAGGGGAAAAAAGGGAACAACAGAAACACGAAACTGCTACAAAAACAAATATCAACATACTTAGAAACAGACTATTTGATAACAACTGCCATGTTCCTGACTTGATACAGTATATATAAGGTGTATTTATGTTTCAAGCAGAATAAGTGGCTTAAAGCACCAATTTTTATGCTTCATTGGCTGACAAAGGAATAAATTGAATGTTTTCCTTATGTGTTTGTAGAAGATTTAGACATTAAAGATGGGAGGACTTTCCTGAACTTCAAAGAAGATTTTGTTTTACTATATGTTAATGATATACTTGTATATTTATCAAACAGTTGATCTGTTAGCTCATGTATTTAATGTTTTGTGTATTTATCAAACAGTTGATCTGGTAGCCCATGTATTTGATGTCTTGAAGAATGATCTGAAGTCAGATGTGTGTAAAGAACTGTTCCTGTATTATCAAGCTACGCCGGTTGTATTACAGTATCTAAAACCTATTAATAAGGTAGGGTAGAAGATAATATAAAGATATTAAAGGATGAGGAAATAACGAGACAGAATTAAAAACCATAAGTCTAAGAAAAAAGCCAACACAATGGTCAAATGTAAAAAGACACACAGTCCACAAAACTCTATAATAAAAAAATTTTAAGCAAAAAAAAACATCGAAAAATCCAGGGGTAAACTTGGGTGCTCTGGAAAAAAATTTATCAGTTAAAAAAAAACTGACAATACATGGCAAGTAATGAAAATCAATGACAAGAAAGACATTTTGATGTGATTCAGTTTTTCAATCAAATATTTCTTAATGCTATCTTTAACAGATAGATAAATTATATATGCATTTGGAACATTTTAAATATATGGAAGCATGTTATAAGATTTGCATAAGAATTCTTAATGTGAAACTATTATGTTTTTACAGATATAGCAAACAACATTGTTATTATTTTTTATACGACCGCGCGGTCGTATATTGGTATGATGTTGGCGTCGTTGTCGTCGTCCGAAGACACATTGGTTTTCGCACAATAACTTTAGTTTAAGTGAATGGATCTCTATGAAATTTTACCATAATGTTCAATACCACAAAAGGAAGGTTGGGATTGATTTTGGGGGTTATGGTACCAACAGTTAAGAAATTAGGCGCCAAAAAGAGGCTAAAAATAAGCATTTTTCTAGTTTCCAGACAATAACTTGTGGAACGGTGTATGGATCTCTCTGAAATTATACCACAAGTTTCCATACCACAAAGGGATGGTTAGGATTTGCTTTGGGGGGTTGTGGCTCAAACCTTTTAGGAATTAGGGGCAAAAAAGGGGGAAAAATAAGGGTGTCCTGGTTAATGGACAAATACTTTAGTACAAAGCATAATTTAGAGCAGTGTAAGGGAGGTAATTCAAATGATGTATTTGAATTACCTTCCTTACACTGCTTTTAAATTATGTATAAAGTAATGGTTAATGAACAATTAAGACAATTTAAAAGCAATGTAAGGGAGGTAGTCCAAATACAATGTTTTGATTACCTCCCTTACACTGCTTTTAAATTATGTTTAAAGAAATGCATATTTATGAAGGAAGACCAGTAAAAATATCTGCAAATGTTGCATCTTTTTTTTTTACAAAAAAATCCATATGAAAGATTTGACACCATATTTTAAATTCTATTAAAAATAGATTAAGTTAGCACTATGGTAAATTTAAATGGGTAATTATGGTTGCAAACTCCATTGGAAATATGAATTGAGATTATGACCATATCTTGAGGGAAAGAATTTTTTTGGGGGAAAAATGGGGGGGGTGGGGGGGGGGGAAGAAATGTGGGGGGTAAATTTTTCCTCATTTCAGATTTCAGAAATTAAAAAGAAAAATTCTTCAAATACTATTTTTTTTACAAAAAAAAAGTGTGTGTGTGTGGGGGGGGGGGTTAATACGCAACAGCATAGTGTATTGCACAAAAGCAAAAAAAAAAAAGGGGGGTAAATTTTTTTATTTTTTTTTGTGGGGGGAGGGGGGGTCAATTAACAACAGCAAAGTGTATTGCACAAAAGCAAAAATTGAATATAAATTCAAATCATATAACCAATTCTAAGTTCTTCGACTACAGTTATTCGGTGTCAGAAACCTTTTATGTGTCAAATATTTAATTACAATCCAAATTCAGACCTGTATCAAGAGCGAATACTGCGTCCATTTTTGCCCCAACTGTTCAGGGTTGGACCTCTGCGGTCGTATCCAGCTGCGCTCGGCGAAGCAATTTATTTTAAAGATGATGAAATAATAAAATGTTAGCACTTGTAAATGAAAGTAGACTGGCAGAGTAAATCTACTTATATTAACCTTATTGAAGAAAATTATTAATAGTTATTAAACAATGGACTGCTAGAGGATATTAAATGATTCTAATTTAAACTTTCAGGCATTTATGGGCGCTGCTATGGATATCTTCCTACAGTTGTCAGCTGACACACCTTTCCAGACTCCATTCCTAGAGAGCTGTGGTAATGAGCAGTGGTTTAGAACTGTTGCTATGGTACTGAGAGCACCTACACAAGACAATAAATTATTGGAAAAACTCAGTATAATTCTTCAGAAATTATCCAAATACAAGTAAGTTTTTTTGAAATTGTTAAGGGAAGGGGGAAACCCTAATTCTTATTGTACAGAAGCTGAAGTTGCAGTTGAATACACATTTTTTTTTATAAATGGACAGTTTTAATGTTATAAAATTTGAAATTTCATGTTGATTTAATGACAAACACTTTTTTTTTAATTTTGGCCTGGTTTTCTTTGCTCAACTGTGTATAATGCATTGTGGTTTGTCAACAACACCTATGAAATAATACTTAACCCTTTTTGGAAGCAATAAGCCCATGTATTAGTTATATAGCGCTATAGAAAATAATTTGATATTTTGGTGTATCCCTGTAAACACTTTATACAGATAATAGACTTTATGGTGCCAAGAAACTGTTTCATGGCTTCACAAAACTGTTTTTCTATTTTCAGAACCAACAAAAGATTTTTTGATGTGTACACAATAGTTGGTATAATTCAGGAGATATTACGTGGATGTTCTACTGACCAAGCATTCCTAGCATTGAATCTGAAGTCTATACTGTTTAATCTATCTTCTACTGGAGGAGTACAATCATAGCATTAGTTCTAATAATAGAAATACTATAAATAGTCACACTGTTACAACATTTTATTAACTGAATGATCAATCACATTTTCTTGCCTTGAGGACAAGGCCTGCATTTCCAAAAAAAAAGATTGTACAATCAATGACAAGATGTAAACCTTAACAAAAATACAGATTATTGTTTTTAAATGACCAGGGTTTCTGCTGGCGGTCACCATTTTCGCATTTTGCCCAAGGGGAATATGTAAATTACCATTGTGAAACACAACCTTATCTATATAGAAACTATTTCCCAAAAAGAAGTTTTCAAGTAAATCTTAATTTAGTTTTATAGTTCATTGAGAAATTTAAATATTTTGATTCCATTGCTGAATGCAGAAGTATACCATTATCAACCAGCAAATGTTGAAGGCATTTGATTTTAGATCTTAGCTTAAATTTGATTTGAAATATTATTCTATATGAATTTAATACATTCTTTAAGAACATCTTAGAAATTACAATTGTTTGAACATTTTGCGTTAATATTCATCATAGTGAAATTTCATAGATAGATTTTATACTTTATTTATTTGAATAAATTAAATTACTGATATTAGTTTTGTTGCGCAGAAATTTGATATAAATATATATATAGATTATTGGCTGAGATATTCATGTTTACTTTTCCACCTGCTCAGACACATAAAATTATGTAGTAAATATTGTTGATTCATTTAATTTCATGGATACCAATTTACATGAATAAGGAAATAATGTTGTTTTGTTGTTATTTGACTTCATTGTTTTGTCAAAATCTGGTAAATTTGTATTTCTTTGCACATTTTTTGTGGTTTTCACTATGTCCACTAAATTTGGTATCCCATGAACAATAATGGATCCAGTATACAATTATTTATCCAGTGTATTCAGTGCTTGCAATGCATATTTCAAGCATCCTTTCATATTATACATTCCTGACAAAAGTTTAGTGGAGGCCATAGCCATAAAAAAAACCTCAGTGGTCTCTCGGTGGTAAGGTAGCCTAGAGATTGGTAGGTTGTGGGTTTAATTCCTGGTCTGGTCAAATTAAAGACTTGAAATTGTTATTTGTTGTCTCTCTGTGGCCATTTAAAGCAGGCATTATTTAGGAGTAAGAACAATAATTGGCCAGCACCTGAGTCCTGTCTACTGTAAGCTTGAGAACTAGCACATTTACAATCTGACTCAGCTACACGGTCTAATAAACAGAAGGGTCATATTCATATCACATTTAAATGTGTTCATCCTGAATCTGCATTAAACTTTCCTATGGATCTTTAACTGCAATCTATCCATTCATCCATCCATCCAAATCATAAAAAAATTAGGAATCACCAAGAAAATACATTTCAATTAAAACTAAAGCTTTGAACAATATAATTCAAATACATTCCCCATTTCAATTCTCAATTTAAATGTATATCAAAATTCAGAAAGGTATCCAGTTTGATCCTGAAACTCATATATGAAGGCATGCTACGGAAATCTTACGCTGCCTGGAAGATCTTTTGAAACACTTTGTGTATGCGCAACTGCTCCTGAACCATTTGATAGAATTTTGAGGTCTGACATATAAGAAAAATATTCTTTAAAGAATTTATAGAACATATGATAACTGAGATGAAGATTAAAACAGTAAACACCACTAAGAACTGAAACTTGCACAAGGTTGATAGAAAATAAAATAAAATTGTTATAAGTTTAAGTTTAAAATACCCAGGACAAGACAAATGTGCAATATGTTTTGTTTCTTGAATGACATACAGTGACCTGTAGTTGTTTATATCCTTGTCTGCTGATTTTGTCTGATAGTTGTCTTTTGGAAAATAAACCACATGTCACTATTTTAATAGACTAAAGTATTAAAGGAATTAATTGATGTCGACCTACTGATACACATTATTTGACTTTGTCTTGCGTACTTTAATTTGCCCTGACACAAAGTATCATTGATACTTCCATTTTATCTGTAAATTCGAATTTTGGTGACCATGCAATGCCTTTCAACTTTGTTATTGATTCGAGCTTTAGTGACGAGCCTTCTTATTTAAGGCAGGGCTTGTTGTTTTTGGTAAGCTTTAGCTCCTTTAAACTCATTTCTTGTTAAATCCGTGTTCGTTGAAATGGAATTTTGTTTTGCTTTTAAATATTAAGGAATGATGCATATAATATTACGTATGTACGTTTTTAGATGTCATTTCTTTGTTTCAGAGCCATAGAATAAAATTTATTAACAATGAATCCACAATTCTCATTTGTTTAATTAATTACTAAGAGAGAAGCATACACATATAAAGGCGTATGGTATAAAGTTTTGACTAGTTTACTATTCATCAGCGTACGAGTGACTTGAAAATCCGAACATTTCAAGTTCCAAGTAATTACTTCAAATCAAAGCACATGCACGAAGAAAGACTAATACCGAAAGACGATCATCTATAATCAAGAAAACAAGGGCATATATGTTAAAAAATTAAAAATATAAAAATTTAAACCCATTAGTGAAACAAAACAAAAACAAAATGAGAGGCAAATTCACGATGGATACAACAGATTTACAGAAAAATTGTTTTCTATTGACATAAGATGCGAAGAAAAAGTATATGTCCCCTGATGAAATATGCGTGTAAGCTCGAAACCCGAAGTCTTGAGACGGTGTGGTCGACTCTGATCTTAATTGAAAATGATATGCCAGTTTTCTGAATACTCCGGCTAACTTCAACCAATTAAAACTTGTATCTTTGACAAAGGAAATTAGCTGGAAATGAGATTAAATACGTTCAAACAAATACAAACGATGTAAATTAAATAGTCGATTACATAGTAGTAAACTTAGAGTTCAAAAACAATTCGCTGTTTCAGAATCTAAAAGACTATAGGTAATTTATTTGCACGTTCACCTGTTAAATGACAAATGCCGCGACACAGTATTGATTAAATATCGATGATAATTTAGGGTCCTGATACCATAATACATAAGATGCTGAGACTCTAAATTTTACACACAATCATCTATAAAGAAACAAAACACACACATTAAAACAAAACCAATAGCATAAAAATATACGACCATTTTTCACTAAGCGGCAGACGTTGCTTATATCAAAGGACAGACAACAGAGTACGGACAACAACAGGGTAGACACCCAATACCATAATGCGTTCAAACACAAATGCTTGACATATACACCACTATGGTTTATAAGTTGAGTTGCACAAAAAGAAAAAAGTTTTTCAAAACATGTGTACACCACCAGGTTTTCTGTAGTTGTGCTGAAGGCCAAGTAGTTCCTTGAACCGGCCTATGCGATCGGCATCAAGGAATCCATTCTCCGTATAAAATCCTCTCAGGTGTTGTAGCATATTGTTATAACTATAGTTAGCTTGAATAAAAGTATCGGGACTCATTGATCCATACAAGTTTTTGATATCGTCCTCTTGTCCAAAGCTGGTGTCAGGAAACATAAGAACTAACCAGGGATTTCCATAGAAAAAGTGTGGCAGCGTTTTGGATCTTATGCATAAATCTAGAAATGACAGAAAATAACCCATGGCCTCTTTGACACCTGACAATGAGTTATGGTCTTTTGGTATTGTAAGTAATGTTATACAATGGAAACATATCGTTTTCAGGTGATTAGAAGCCGCAACTATGTGCAGCTGATTCGTGCCGTCTTGATTGGAAACGTATGTCTTTAAGATTCGACAAGCCGTCATCAAAAACTGTTGACTAGGATTCAACTGGCAGACGTCTAGAATATGTCTCTCATATTCAGACGTGCAAACTCTCCACAAAGAGTCCTTGTCGCTTGTCATGACTGAGTTGGGAGTATGGACCCATTTCATTACGGCATATACAGGGCAGACCATTTGTCGAATCCCATTGGGCGAATTAATCGTATTAGGATCTGGAACATAATCGTGTCGCAAAAGAAGTGCTGGAACAATATCCATATCTAAAGATGTCTTCAATCCTCTTGATTCTAAAGATTGGCTTTGCAAAGTGATGTTAGAAAACGTGTTGAATAAATCGTTTATATCTTTTTCATTATTCAAGGTTATATTGATGTCTAATGTTGGTGGCTTGGCAATTCGTTTAAGAGAATAACTTGTCTGTTGAGCCCATAGATGTTCATTCACCAGTTCACGGGTTTTGTCGATAATAGATTCGAATACTTTTAAGTGTAGATTCCTTGAGTTGATGAAGTATTTGTTCATACCTACTTTTTAAAACACTTCACATTTTCTGATCCATGGGTATCTTTCTAACAAATCTTCAGCATTGTTGACTCGAAGCCTTACCAACCCCAGAGCATTATCCGGAGCAGGTTCTACAATAATTCCATTTATATTGAATATGAGGATGCTATCAAACTCAAGAGCATCAATGACTTTCAATCCCTCTCTTGAACTACCAAACTTTATCAGCTGATCGTGGAGAACCAACCCTTCAAACTGTTCTCCTGAAAATTTACGTATTCCTTGCATTACTACGCGGAGAACTTCATCCGTTGTACGACTGTGATCTTCAAAATTTTCAGGATTGATATTCTGCAAATGTTCATTTCGTGAAATCGAATATTGTAGGTCATGTTCATTGGGACCAAAGATATAAAGCGGTTTTCGCCAGTTGTTCATATTAACACCCACTGATTGCAACATGTCCATGGTCTTATTTGGTCTGAAAATATATTCTATACATAAGCAAATTTATGACCATTTTAGTTAAAGTTAAACAAATCATCTAAACATAGATACCAGGCTTATCATTATGCATCAGACGCGCGTTTCTTCTATACAACACTGACACAACAGTAATACTCGAATACGAAAGATTTAAAAGGAAAACAAAGTAGGAATTTGAACATATTGATATTTTTCATCTAATAAACTGAATTTAAACTACAAATACTTAATCGTGAGGTATTATAATGAATGTAGATTCAAAAGTACGCTTTATATACTCATCAAATTTGGTATGTTCAATAGATCATTTTCATATTACCGACTTTTGACACTAGAATTTTTATCTTTTTTACAGGTTACCTGTCCCGTGGTAGGACATTCTGGTCAGAACTGGGGTCAATTACATGCCAAATAATTACTTACATTTCAATTACATTGATTTTTAAATGTAATTTATTACATTACAATTACATTGATTTTCAAATGTAATTAATTACTAAGTAATTACATTTGAATTACATTGCCAATGTAATTGTTTACATTACAGTTACTTCTATCCAAAGACATGTCAGAGCTATATCATTTAGAATAAAATCATGAAAATGACAACAGGTTAAAATAGAATGAAACTTATGTATACATATATACCGGTACGTTCCCTTTTTAACAAATTAAATATTAGAACAAGATTTGTTTTAAACAAAAGTTTTCAAATTTCTAATGTCATTGTTACACTTTAATCCAATGCTGTTTATGCTGATTATTTGATTGCATTTCTGATTTTTATAGTAAAACTATTGAAAAATATTTAAACAAATATGTATAAAGATCCAGATTGAGATTTTTTTCCTTAAAATTTCAAATTTCTACTAAAAGTGTTCATTTATA